AACAGATTGTGATTTTCTCTAACGGATTGACCATCTGGGAAATTCTTCATGCAACTCCTTTCCTCACTGGGAGCAAATTACTCAGTGGGGAATTCCCAGCGGAGAGGAGAAGCTGAAGGGATGGGTGGTTCATTTAATTAGCATGCACAATCTTGACGGCCTTACTCAGGCAAAACTCTCACTAGGGCCAACGGGAGATTTATTTTCTTATAAGAACCAGCTAAGGACTTTGGTATTCGTCTCTTGGTGTGTTATTTGGTATTCTCCATGCAGGGGAAAGCTGGCTTGGGGATGTGCAGGAGGCTGATTTACTGCAGGGCTCCAAGGTCACAGCGATGCTTCGGGCCGCGCTAGCGGGGACACAGGCACCGCTGCCCTTCGCCCGCTCTCACATTTGGGGGAAAATCCCTCATTTCTGAGCACGGGCTCCCCAGCCGACCGAGCACATAGATTTTACACAACACCAAGTTGCTGCACCAAGCCCAGGTCTCTTCTCTGTGTTTTGCGTTTGCACCTTTTTTTCTTTTTAATTTTCCTGAATCTTCTGGAGGCTCCACTCCAAAAGCCATTCGCACTACGCGTCCTCCAAAGAGAAAAGGCCCAATTTACACTGCCCTAACGCAGCTCACGGGAGCAGGGGGGCTCCTTGCACCTCCGTTAACCCAGAGCTGTCCCTAGGGATAACGGGCCCACCGGGATGAGCCTGGAATCGCCCCGGCGCCGTCCCCACGTCCAGCCGCAGCGCAGGGAGCCCGAGGACCCGGCTCTGCTCGCGCCCAGGCCCGGCTTTGGGGGCTGCACGGAGCCACCTCACACTTAGCAGCTTCCATCGGCTCCTGACGGGACAAAACTTTGCTTCGAACTGACATTTTTCTGGGCATGACGACTGCTTTGAAGCAGGAAGGCAAAATTAACGTGGAAAGTTGGCAGGGGAGGAAATGAGAGACTCACCACAGCTGAGCTGTCCAGGAGCTACGCAAACCTTGTTTGGCTAAATAAAAACGCTGAAAGGTAACAAAGCTTCATGTTTTCCAGCTGCATCTTCCCCGGAACGGCAGCTAGCTCCGTGCTGGAGCTGCCGAGGAGCAGGGCCCCTGCTGAAAGCCCATGTGCTGCCCTGCTCCGGCAGGAATCGCTGCCTTCCCGAGGGGAAGAGCCCCCAGGACACGGAATGTGTCTTCATTCCAGCGGTGCCAGCTTAGAGCTCCGGGACACGCAGTTTGCCTCGTTTTTGCCCCTTTGCACCTGTACAAAATCGGTGACTCGGGAGAAACTGGGGAGGGATTAAGAGGAGCTTTTCTGCCAGGTGAAGCCCCTTTGCTAAGGGGCTGCTCTCCTAAGGTAATTTTTGCAGTGCCTCTATATATTACACCTATAGAATTAGGTCAACATCTGAACTGGCTTTCACAGAAAAGGGCAATCCTGGTGCTAAAAATCCTGGTGCTGAAGCTGGATGGAGGGAAGGAAAACGCTCAGCTTGGGGAGCGGGTGCTGGGGAAGGCTCCGCTCGGAGCCCAGCTTGGATCGAGCCCAGAGGCTTCCCCAGGGAGCTGCTCGTTCCTGGGTCCAAAGCTGCTTCCACCAGTGCCCCGGGGTAGGAAGCAGCAGAAATTCACTCTAGGAATCAGGCAAACAAGTTGCTCCTTCCCCAGGGAGACAGCAGAGGTTCAAGAGATGCGCCTAAAAACAACAGCAGTTATGGAATGTGCATTTTGCACATACAAAGTCCTTTCCCAGTAACTTTTCCATGCAGCCGGGCCGTGCTGGCTCCCTGAAGCCCGGTCTCCGTCGGCTCCGGCCTCGCCAAGCACCACGGAGCAGGATGAAATCCCAAAGCAGACGCTGGGCAGGGTTTGTGCTGCTGCACATCACTGTGGGACTTTGCACATAGGATCAATGGGAGTTACAAAGTCCCTCAGAGCAGGAATATTCCTCTTTATTCCCTGCAGGGATAACAAATCATCACAACCGGGCTCTAAAACAACACACGGCTCCGTGGGACAGACGGACTGAACCAATTAACTGATACAAACCTCAGAAGGGAGCAACAACCCAAGTCACTCGGACGCGCGTGACGGGTGACACAGCCAACTTACTGGAACCAGAGCCCGGGAATCAGGAACCTGCCCCGCAATCCCGGCCTTTCCAGGTAATTCTGGCCCAAAAGGCCCTTCTGGGAGCTCTCCGAGGTGTTTTCCTCACCTCGCGGCGATGCCTGTGCCACTGCGGGCCCCGTTTTCCTCTGCTGGAACTTTGCACCAGTGCCAAGGGATGCAGAGGAGGATCCAGGCTGCCGGGCCCGAAATCCAGCAGCACCACAAGACCAAATCGCTCCTTTTTCTTCATAAGCAATCAAGCCATCCACATGTTAAAAAAAATAAGTTTAATGCAAGTGGCGTGTTTCATACAGAACGTAACAGGCACCCGAAACACCAGCTGTTTTGTGTCGAAACACCAGAATTTCAGTGTTGTTTGTACATACGCAGGCCAGGGCAGTTTTGCCACCGCTCACAACACGGCCACCCCCATCCCAAGGCCACGCGAGGCCGGAGCTCCGGGGTGGCCGAAGTGCCCGGGAAGCTTCGGAGCATGCGGGAAGCGCCGGGGAAGCTCTCCAAAGGGGCAGGCCAGACCCTGCATGGATCCCGGACGGACACGTTCATCCCAATGGGCATTTCCAGCATTTTTCTTAATGACTCTTGAGGCCATTTTTAACCTGCCACCAAGTTTAGCTGCAGCAGTAAAACCCCAACGTGGCAAGAAAGAAAAAGCCATGAAAAGGAACGAACCAGCTGCTCTCATTGTCCAGCGCGGAACCAGCACGGCAGAATGCTAAAAACGGGTTTTTCAAAACATTTTAAAGTTATGGCCTTCTCAACAATAAGACAGCAGAGTCGCAGCAGATGTTGGGGCCTGACCTGTCCCCTCAAGCAGTGGTAAATCTGGAAAGAGCAACAAATCCTAAAGAAAATGAACTTCCCCAGGGGGCACAGCCTGCAAGTACCTGCTTAATATGAAATATTTCCAGCAAATAACATAAGTCAGGTTTCAACTCTTGAAAAGAGTCTGTGTTTTCTTATTTGTTCTATTCTGCCAAACTTGCTTTCATCCCACCCCATTATAAAATGCCATTTTTTTTTCAATTAAAAAATGTATACAGGAAGAAAAAATCACACCTTATTCTTGGCATATATTTAGTGTAACATTTATTCTGTCTCTCCATCCTTCCCTCCTTTGTGGTTTGGCTCCCCTTGAGCTTGTAAGAAACCTCTCAGATCTTAACTGCTTGAGAAAAAACATATTTTGGCAAAGTGACCTTAAATCTTCGAAAAAAAATCTTAAATTTAAAAGCATTGGATTTAAACTCTGCATCATTACCCAGACTTTAGTTATCTTGCAATCTCCTGGGAATGCTGTGAGTATTAATTAGCTCTTGCTGGAAAATGCTCCGAAAAGTGCCAGAAAGGTGCCAAGCACTGCTCTAGTCATATAGAGCTAAAATGTTCGAATTACTACATCCTAAACCCAATCATTTGAACATTAATTCCTTTTCCTTGCCAGCGTGACTTCAAAGGGACCTCGTTTCCCCTGTTACACTGGTAGGATGTCACCACCTGAGCACCACTGAGTATCCAAGTGCTAGTGATGACCAGGAATGAGACTTCTCAACTACTCAATTTCCAAGTGATCTATCTGGAATTGCAGACTGAAGTAAAGATTCAGGGTATTCTGGCAGTCGACTTTTGGCAGTATTTGTAGAAAAGGGGAAATCACTTTCCAGTGTCAAAGCAACTTTTCCATGCTCTCTCCTCCTTTTGACTTGGTAAACAGTTTGGGGTTTTTTTGTATGATTTGATAAGGATATGTGATTTTTCCTGATATGCACTACTGAATCTGGATGCAGAAGGGAACAGCCCAAGCATATTCATATCTTGGATCAAACAAATCATAACAAGAGAGTCATGTATTACCAGCCTCGGTTATTCCACCATGATTACCAACATCAGTGATTTCAGGGCAAAAACAGGCTCTATCATTTTGAATGACTTTTTTTTTTTCTTTTTTAAATCAGTGCACATTTCTTTAAAGTAAAAAGAGGCTCTATCATTTTGAATGCTTTTTTTTCCTCTTTTAAATCAGTGCACATTTCTTTAAAGCACATGGGGAGAGGGATAATATTGCATTGAAAGAAAGACAGAACCAAGGAAAACTTTAGGACAGGTTCTGAACTCCTTATATAAAGGGATACATAACTGACTGCAGAGGAACAGCCTGAGATCAAGACCAGTAAAACCAAGCCTAGTGCTTAACCCTCTCTCCCTGGACCATTAGTAATGCTCTCTGATGACCCTGCTCCTACTCCTGGAAAGGTAGGAGAGCTACAGTTTTCTATAATCCCAAGGAATACACACTGTCATTCAGATCCTGCTCCACTTTCAAGCTCTCCTAGATAACACATCATCAGAGCCTGGCAAGACCGAAGCAACTCTGGAAAAAGAGGAACAAATCAATTCAGCAAAGAGTCAAAATCCAATGCCAAGAACCCAGGACGCTGCACTGGGTTCCCCATAATCATCAGGACAAGAGGACCTATTTGCTACGACTGGAATTTCAGTGGCACATGACACTGAGCTCGGCTCCCTTCGCTCCCGTGGGCTTGTTCTGTTAGGACAAAACTCAATTACTCAGCACTAATTGCCTGGAAAGGACAAAGCCATTCAAAGCTGCATGGCCACGTCAGAGCGAACGGAACGATGCTGTGGCTAGGATGCACGTCTTGCACAAATCCAGGGAAAAAAGTGGTTGAATTTGGCCCCATATTCTTTGTAGAGGATATGCAAAATGCAAACCACACAGAAAAGGGATGGCACTGGGAGGTGGGATACTACTACATGCCTAGGACATTGAGGAACATTCTTGGAAAAGGGATGAAGATGGATTAAAAGGGTAGGGTGCAAAGTTATCTGGATTCTAATCTCCGGATAAATCACTGCCTTCTTCAAGCCCGCTGGAATACAGGAGCGGCAGCAAGGTGGGCTCCTATGGACTAAATGACATTTCTGTTAAGTTTCACTGTGCAAAGACAACAAACCACCCAATTGGGTTTGCACTTTGATAACCCAAATGGCACCTAAACCCTCAAAAATATTACAAATTCCAGAGACATGTACATTAATTTATCAAAAAAAGTAGCACTGATAAATAAATTAATTTATATAAAAAAGGAAAAGAGAATATTCACACGTTTTGGGATAGAAGAATCACTTCTCTGCCCACATGCGCTTGTTTTATTTACATATCCACAAATACCATGAAGCACCATCCCAGCCCCCCGACTAGCAGCATGGTCACATGGATCCCATAGATGAGCAGTTCATTCATGAGGCTGAAGTCTACGCGCCTTCGCCCCAGTAAGAGGAGGATGATGGAGAGTTTGTACTGGAAACGCAGAAAGATCCGGATGCCAAGGTACTGAAGGCAAAACAAGATAGAGAGTGCCACCCAGAGGATGGAGGTAAACAGGCTGCAGCTGAAGTACAGCAGGAACCGAATGAATCCGTACATCCATCGGGATTTGAGATAGATGTCAAAATTGTTGTACTTGGTGCGCACCAAGTGAGTGGTTCTTACCGGGCCGCAGGCCGAGTGCAGGCAGGTCGTGTGGGGGCCGTGGAAAGAGCGGACCCGCCGGGGAATGGGGATCACAGGCATCGGGCAGCCCAGCGCTCGCCGAGTCCCAGCGCAGGATTTACGGGGCGCATATCAAACAGCAGCCCTTAGCACGGAAGAGATCCGGCGGCCCGGGAACGCTGACTCGCTGCGGGATTTCCAGGAGGGATGAGACCTGCAGGAAGGCAGAGAAGGAAAACATAGTTAAGTAGCCCCAGCAGGGAGATACACAAGAAGGGTGGACGCTCTGCAGCTTGGTGGCTACTCATAGCTGCTGTATAGAACTCAGGTCCCCTTTACAAAGTACTATTTACCAGGCAGACATGTAGAAATACAATTTTTTCCCCATCCTCACTATACCAGAACCCAAAGAGTGCCCTGTTAGCATGCAATTCCAGGGCTAGTCACAACCTGTTCACCCTTACACCACTAACGGAGGAAAAGCAAAAACTTTGTTCTGGAACGACCCCAGCTAAGTCAGAGGGCCTCCTCAGTCAAACAGGAGACAGGCCTGCAAAAATCCTTGCCCTATGCAGGCAGTGACACCAATGCACATGTTTGCATTTGACTGGGCTTTGTTTGATTAAAAGAAGCTCTCCAAGTGCTTTTGCAAATGAATCCTACAGTCCACACACAGTGGTGGTTCTAGACTGCTGCTCACTTCAAAACTTGGCAAAGCTTCACCAAATAAACAACTGAAAATAATGGAAGGTTTTGAAAGAACAATGAGGCAATAATGTTTTTTGCACTCCACAGGATGTACCTCCCCTGGCTTGGCCGAGCCTTGCAGTCTCACAAGCTCTGCATCCAAATGCAAAGAGTGTTTCAAAGGTACCTACCATTTTATATCTCCCTTTGTGACCTACAGAGATAAATGAAGTATCTTGATCCTCGGGAGTGTTTAGGATTTATAATCTTAACATCCTTCCACGCACTCATTGTTGTGATCTGACAGTGATGAGCAGTAGCCCGTTAGCTGCTCTCTGCTTCACCCCAGGCTTGTAATGTGCCAAATTCCGGGAATTATGAAATGACAATAGATTCATCAGATAATGTCAGAAAACAACAGGGACTTCCCCGGCCTCCTCGCACACCCAGCAGTTCAGACCTTGGCAGATCTTTCCTCTGCTGAGCAAGAAACACTGTTGCTATTGACATATATTGAGTATATTTTAAAAGTAACTCCAGTAATTTTTACTTTGTTACTACCAAAAGCATTTACAGAGTAAACTATAAGGCTACGGGAAACTGTATTCAGATATCAGACACATTTTCTGATACAATTCCTGTCTTTGAATAAGTCTTTCCACTGCTACCTGCCTCAACCTATTTCTGTAACTGGAAATAACCATCCTGACCTCCTCTGTACAGCCCCAGGATCTAATTCCTTCTCTTCAGGACAGGAATTTTGCCTGTGATCTTTTTGCTCTCTTCAAACCAGAAACTAATAAAAAGGAGCACGGGTGAACTCACAACTAAGGAATATAGGAAACTGAGATCTGTTCTGAGCTAATGAAGGTCTCTCTCACAATTTTGCATGCCTCTTTCCCAGCATTTCTTATCTATAAAGAGGAAATATTATGCAGTTTAGAGGAATAGTATTTTTCAAGACATACAAGTGGTTAGATACAAACCAACACTACATAAAACCCAGACAGTTTTGCATCTAAAGCATGCGACTGATCATGCTGGCCACATACCGCCCACTGCTTGTCTTCAGAGTTATTTTTGGAGGAATAAATTGGCAAATTAAGCAAAAATTTATAGTCTGAATTTACAGCCTTTCACTTCTCATGCTACAGCCAGTCTGTACAACGTCTTCTATCGGAGCACGGAGTGCATGGATATGTAATAACCTTCCAGGAAGCTCCTACGTCTTCCCCTTAGCCCGACTCCCTGCGCAGCCACACCAGGGCTGGGGCACTACAAGAGGGCTCCAGAAGCCCACACTGAGGAGCAGAGCACAGGCCCCACGTGTGAAGCTGCTTTGCCCACAATCTGCAGTTTGATGGGGCAAAAAAAACCCAAACAAAAACACCTCAACACCAGCTTCACACCTCTGCCTTGTTGCAAAGGGGAGGTGTAATCCTGGCAAGATCATTAAGAGGTGAATCAGGCAGAACTGCTCAAACAGCTCAGCTGAGGAGACGGAGCAGATTGCTCCCTTTTAGTGCACCCATCATAGAAACAAACACCCTCAGTGGGTTTGTGCTCAAACACCAACACTGGAACAGCCACAAACACAGGGACATTGTGAGAATTTAAGACAGAAATTTGAAATATTACATTTTTAATGGTGCTGCCATCCACTCAGCAGGTCGGTTTTCCGATCTTCTTTCCAGGATGCCTCTTAATTCTTGTAATAACAGAAACGTGGTGTTTTCCTGTGACACGTGGCCTTCTAGGAAGAGTGAAAGAGACTGCTAAGGTCCTTCATAGACTCACAACATTCTACGTATGAGTTGATCTAAAGAATAAAATGAGAGATTAAGTTTTAATTTGCTAATTTTATTCATTATCAACTTCAAACTCACAAGAGCACTCCCCAAGCACGAGCTTTTAATCCCATTAAAATTTCAAAAAACAATCAAACATTCCAAAATATATTTTATCTTACTGCTACATGCCAGAAATTCAGCTAGCTTGTATTCCATGCCATATACCAAGAGGAAAGAAAAAAAATACATATAAAGAACTCATGCCAGGCACTTACTTTAATTAGAGAACCTCCGCTGTTCATGCAGGGCATACAAAACACAAGGGAGAGAGCACACACAGCCAATGTTTCTAAAGCAGATACTTGATGGTTGGCCTCTAAATCTGTATATTGGCTCAAAATGCCTGAAATGGAGCTGGACACCTGCTCCTGGAGGTCTTTTAGGCCTTTATTTTTTAGAAGAACATTAGTGAGGCTGGATCAGGCCTGTCTCAGGCTGCATCCCTACAGCTACGGCCGCTGTTCCAGGGAGCATCACGGCACCCTGACAAGGTCTCACGGAGAAGCTAAGGCTGGAACCGCTCGTTTGGGCGAGTTTCCACCTCCTCTCCTTTACAAACGCTCCTTGGGACGGGAACGCTGCCCAAGGGCAGGGCCGTTTTCCTTTATGCCCAGCTCGCTCCTGCGATAAACGGCGGAGCAGGAAGGACCCAACGGCGGCAACGCTGGGGCACAACGAGGCCCCCGGAGCCCCGGCGGGAGCCGGGGAGGGCAGGGACGAGCAGAGGTGAGAGCGGAGGGACCAGAACGGGAGCACCGCGAGGGCGGAAGCCCGAACGCCTCCTGCATCCCACAGGACCCTCAGACGCCGCACGTTCCCCGGGAGCAGGGCAGGATGCGGGGAGCCCATGGAGGCTGCCCGGGACAGGGCCCGGTTGCCTTGAGCGGGTCTGGCGGACGGTACCGTCACCGCGCTGCTACCCGCCCTGACAGAGCGGAATGCGGGGAGATGCCCCCCAAAATAATAATAATAAAGGGGATTCAGGGGCCTGTTGTGAGGCGATGATGCCCGGTAACGGGACAAGCCCTAGGGCTGCGCAGGGCCTGGATCGGCGCGGACACCGGGACGAACCGAGCCTGGAAGCCCCAGGGCCGCCAGCCGAGCCCCGTGGTGCTGCAGCGTCCAGGGGCGATAAACCCGGTGGTGATAAACGGGTTGTAAACTGCCCCGAGGAGGCAAAGACACCTGGGGGTGACAAGTCACCTGGCCCATCACTGCCTCTCTCCCAGGGCCCCCAGTTCATGAAGGAAAAAGGACGAAAAATCAGAAGTGGTTCAAAAGGAAAAAAAAATCCCATCATTTTCTCTTGGTTTTGATTAGGAGTTACATTCCCTAATTACAGGAATGCACAGTTATTGCCCCCTGCCCCGTGTGCCACAGTGAAAAAAAATAATAAATATTAAATAACAGCTGCAGGCAGGGCAGCCTGACCCAGTCGCGTGGGTGCGGGCGCAGAGCCAACAAACAGCCACAATTCCTTAGGTCAAGAGTGACAAAACCCTCCACAACGGCAGTGTTTTCTTTTCTGCCTGAAATCCTTTGCCCGCTTTGCTGCAAAAAAGGGCAAAAATAAGTAAATACCCTGTCCTGGGGTCAGCCAGGAATTGCAGCCGTGACACGGGAAGGGAGAGGAGCCCTCATGGCGCCTCGTGCTGCCCACGCGGCCCTGTGGCGCCCGCTGCGTTTCTCTCCCCTGCTAATTTTCCCAAAGACACAACTCATATTCCTGTTGATTGAACAGTTTTGTGTTGACAGCATTGAAGATTTGTGGCGAAACTTATCATCAGCCCCGCGAGCGGGCCATTAGTACCAGTCAGAGCAGCCAGCTAGGGCTGATATATTTTATGGCACGCTTCGGAGACAAACATACACATTTATATGTCACTTGTTGCAATATAAATGCTAACTTGTACTTCTTTCAAAACTTTTAATGAATTGTATACATTTCACAAGATTTACGGCATAAATCGAATGGCTCAAAATATTGCTTTAAACGTATTTGTCACTTTGGCAACAGAATAAAAAAAATCTGGAAGATATTGCATTTAGAAATAAATCATAAATATATGCATCTTAAAAGAGTTTATTTTGGTCATTAATAGTTGATGGGCCCCCCCAGTGCAGGATTTAAAGTTAAATTATGCAAAATCAAAAACAAACCTTATAATACTTAATCAAACATGCATAAAACTGTCAGGGCCAAATAAATTCTCTCAATTAACTTGCTTCAGATTGTGATTGCATTTACTAATTTAATCAACACTAGAATAATTTGGAGACTGGGTAATGATGAATTACTCTGGTGCTGCACATGAGGGGATGCTAAGGTGGTGTGTTGAGACAAGAATGCAAGAAATGCTCCGCAGGCTGAGGGCCTGAGTTGTCACAATCATTTTATAATGGAAACATATATTTTTATTCCCATTTGGATGGCTAGGGAAGGGCTAGGAGACTTTTTCCACTAAAGAATTTGACTCCTGTCATAGAGAGACCTTGTTTGGATGCATGACTTTCATGTTAACCCATGTAGTCCCCATCTCATTTCAATATGGCATGAATTAAAAAGTGAAACAGTTCTCTGCTGGTGGCTACGCTGCATTTTTTTTTTTCACTGATTTTGTGGGATTGCAAATTCCAATCCTTTTTCTGGCACCAATTCACACTTTGGCCTTGGTCACTGAGGCTGAAGTCAGAGTAACAAGTCTGTAATATCCAGATGTTCTTTAATTCAATCCTTTCGTACTTAGGATGGATCTGCACTGACAGCGAACGGGCCTGACGCCTGTTAGATAGATAAAGCTTTCAATACCAATCCTTGCAAAGAGTTAAACATCTGATGTCTGTAGGTGCAAGCAGGGTCCTACAGATGACTGTTTGGATATGTTCTCACTTACAGGCTCATGTGAAGGAAGCTGTGAGGTATCCAGCCCTCTGAAACACCAGATTTGTGAAAATCAGACCCTTATTAGGTATTTAACCTTTCTACATTTGCTTTAGAAGAAATAAAAGTGCCTGTATAGCTGTTGCAGAAATCAAGTCATTACTGCAAGACTCACCTTTCCTTGCTTCCTCTCGTTCTCACCAACATATAGTTTCCAGAGGCTAACTTACCATTTTGGCCCTCTCTTGTTTGGCATGGGTTGCACTTTATAAACGTACAGCCCCTACCACTATTTGGGCACTAGCAGAAATCAATAAACAACACATATATGTGCTGAAGAAATATACCCAGAAAAATAGGTAGCAAGGTTCCTTCAGTGAACCAGAAATAGCTACTAGAGCAGTAAGTCTATAGTCATATAGGAAGCCATAATTCTAAAGGTCTTAAAGATAATAAAATTGATAATATGGTATTTTTGGACTAGCATTCATTGCTGTCTACCAGTAGTATCCAAAACACCATTCAAACCCAACAGAGCCCTTTGCAAAGTCCATTGGGTTTTGCTGAGCCACAGTTTATAAAGCCGAATGATAACAAATTGAGCAATTAATTCTTCCCCTTTTCCTTTAAGGAGATTTAAGGTCAAGTCTGGGCCTTAAATTTTAAATTTAATCAATCCTCTCTGCAAATCTAAAATGTAAAAGCCCGTGAAATAATTTTACCTTATTACTTCTTTCCAAACCTCAACTCTTGGCTTAAATGTCAGTTCTATTGGTATGAAGAGATGTGCATGGGGTAAATAATATAATGCAGGAAATTAGACTAATCAAATATATAGGTACACACACACACAGTGTCGCTGCACATCTGGGCACGGCAGCACGGGCACAGCACAGGGCGGACTGTGTTTTTCCTCCTCTTCCTGCAGTGCTTTTATATATGTCTGTATTTTACGTGAAATGGAAGGAAAGAGCAGCGTGCGGTTCCCAAAGCAATAAATGATCCAAAGGGTTGGTGCGAGGCGAGCGGGAGAGGTTTGCCGGCTTGGCCCTGCGCGGCACAGCAGGGTGTTTTCTGCTGTAAGGAGCAACCTGCCCGTGTTTCCCGAGTTTCTCCGGGAAGCCACCGCTTCCCGGGATGAGGTGCCATGGCAGCGCTTTCGGCACTAGGGGGTTCAGTGCATCACGGATCCGCCACGCTGCACGGGATGTTGCACGGGAGCTTCCCGTAAGGGTTTTTTAAAAAAAAGACAAAACAAGGAAAAATATTAGGAGAGTAAATGCCAGCCCAACCCGCTCAGACACCCGTTGTGTCTCCCAGAGCAGGTGATGGGAGTTGTGCCCAGGCCACCAGTGCCGTGGGCTGGAAGGTGCCACCAGGGAGCCCTGGGGACCAGGCCGTGTGGTGTCACCCCATGGGGCTCCTGCCCATGGATGCCAGGCCGGGATGCTCCGGCGGACGTGCCGGGAACAGGGGACAGGGCTTTGGGAGGGCAGCAGCTGCAGAGGGAGCCCCCGGCATCCACGCGTGCCCGGCGCCGCTTCCGGGCAGAATTCCCAGCGCGAGGAACGGGATGGCATCACGTCAGCAGCAAAAGCGACCGACAGAAAGAAGCAGAGCAGCTGTAGGATGAAACGTCCCGGGATACATCCACGTGTAACAGCGGTGTCTGTTCGCACACCCAGGGAAAGCCCTTGCACTCCTTTCCACTGCTTTCCCTGCAGATCTGGGCACATCCCGCTTTTCCCAGTTACGTACAACTGGGGAATGCAGCTCCCCACGGCAGTGCTGCACCTCTGCCAACCAGGAATATCATCCTATCAATGCAGGGAGTGGGGAAATAAGACCCGAGAACCTGCAAAAATCAGCACCGCCGGGGAACATGAACCACAAAAACTCCCCGGAATGGCCATGCTGTTTCCCCAGTCTTGGGTTCCCCATAAATTCCTGATCCACCCGAAACTCCGTAGTGCAGGATTTTGCCATCAAGAGCAGGGAGGAGACAAAACCCCAACAGCCTCATCAATCACCGCCGGGCTCCAGCTCCAATTAACAAGTTCTATTATCTTAAGACTGACACTTGTAGCGCAGAGCAAAGCACG